CCTGAAAACCCCAACTACAGAATAGGCCAAGATCTACACAATTTCAACAACCACGCCGGTGGAAGAGGGCATCCGACTGCCCGATGCAACTAAGTTTGCCAGATCTCGCTTGTTTCAATCCCGCGAAGGAGATGCTTCAGGCCAAGTGTGTGGTCTTCTCCGTCGCGCAGAGTTGACTACTCTTCAAAAGAGTAGGATGTTCCTTCACAGCAATCTCCTCTACCGCCACCAGAGGAGAGAACGGGAATAAGGAGAGAGGATGATGATCACGATGCTCGGATGCGAGAGGGTGTCAACAGCTAGTTGTGGATGAGCCCATTTGTTTCCTGGCAACCAACATTTTTAGACACAACTTACCACTGGTGAGAACAATCTACCCACATCGATTAAATAATGGATTCAATTCGAAATTCTATGAATATTACACCGCGATAGACACATGAAGAAGTTCAGAGGACACAGCAACCGAAACGTTGTGATAATAACAACAAAGATGAGGACATTAACCTAAATATAAATAATATCCACATACCACAAAATTTATACAGAAATGAAATTTTACTTTTTGTAATTTGAGCAAAAAGCAGCAAATGCTACAGACCACACATTTTCGACAAGCGATAAACTAAATGTTTGCAAGCTGTCTGACGAAAACGGCCCGTCACTGTGTTCACGCTCTGACAATAGCTTTTGTTTAAATGTTAAGTAACAATAACCACGGACCCGGCGTAAAATTAGCAGCCATTCATAAAGAAACTATTGCATTACTTAGAAAAGTTTTATTAATTTTCATAAATATATACAATTTAAAAAGAGTAGGATCATAGGAAAAACATATTTATTTTCCTATATTAATTAGAAATGAAATTACGTTTTTGACAACCGTTTTAGGATTGTAACATATTAAAGACGTTATCATCTAGAAAATGCTGCCAATGATGTTGGACTCTGTATCAATGACTCTAAAACTGAATTCATAGGCTTCAACCAACAAGACTTAATACAAACTGTCTCATGTGAATCGATAAAGTCTGTCGAATCTTTTGCGAAAATAAAATTCTACTGAAAGATGTAAAAATTCGCATAGCTTAAAGCTTGGGCCGCCTTGAATAAAATCGATGTAATTTGGAAATGTGATCTACTAGACAACCTCAAACGGAGATACTTTCAAGCCACTCTAGAGGCGGTATTAATGTATGGTGCTACTGCTGGAACATTAATTAAAACCATAGAGTCTAAGCTTGATGGAACCCACACTCAGATGGTGAGAGCTATACTTAACATCTCTTGGAGATAATATCCAACTAAATAACAGCTTTATTGGAACCATTCCATATCTACAATCTTACGCGAACGCAGAATGTCCTTTACAGGACATGGCGACTGATCTATTGCTCTGGACACCTAGCCATGGAGCAAAACGAGTTGGTCGCCCAACAACCACTTACATTGACACAGAATGCCGCTCTAATGACCTTCTGACCTTGATGCAAAACTATGAAGGTTATTGTGATAGACTCAGAAATGCCTGAGATAGCTCGACCGAATAATAAAAAAAAAAGTTAAATACAGAATATATTGTTTTCTGTTTATTCTGTTTACTGTTACATTTATGATAGAAAACCAAATTAGCTGAATATAATGCCTTTAATATGTCACAATTCTACAAAAATGTAATAACTTATTCTATTGCTTGTTGCCAATCGTAAAATAGTTATTTCCAGTATCGTCTACAAATTCGTTCAAATTAAATCTAGAAAATAGATGCCTTAAACTATACTTTTATTAATTTTGACATTTGGATTTCATTCCTAAATGTAAGTAACACGATTATTGAAGTGTCAAATATTTCTATTATCTGGCTGTATTGCAAATGACAAAATTGTATTATATTATTATGCAAGTAAATAATTTGTCTTAATATTTATACGAATTATGACTCTTTATAACATATTACAGACCCAACAACTAGCATAATCTGGTTTTAGATACATACAATTTCTTATTTCTCTCTTCTGGGGGATTTATCCTTCCTTATTAAGAATTTTAAGTAATAATATAATTTCTTACAGTAATGGTCACCCTGTACAAGGCCCAAGAGCCACTCGATGTAGAGGGTTACAGACTAAGAAGCACAGTTTATGAGAATATGTGAGGAAGATAACGGTTAAACCTAGACTTGAACAGCTTAAGATTTTAATGATGAGGAAGCATCCGCTTGGGAGTCGGTTGCACAAAACAACGGTTCGTGGGAAGAAGTGGAACTTACATCTCGCCAATGTAAGGGATGAAGGTGTTTTGCAACAAATGTGAGTGTCATGGCGGGTCGTGAAGGTTAGAACTGGTAGAACTAAGGCTACATATGGTAGAACTACATGTTCGTGTGAACACTTTCCATGGAAATAGCGCTAGAACAGCGAGAGGCTTGCGATGTTTCGCCTGTAGGAAAAGGTTGTAGGTTGAAAAACGAAAGAAAAGCAATGGTTGTACTTACTGGTTCTGGTGCATAAAACCTTGCAAAAAAAGGAAACAGTCTGTATATTAAAGTCGATCAGAAAAATAATGCAAAGTCATATAAAATGCCGATCAAAAAACAAAATAATCTTTTATTGTCAATTTGTTTCCATTTCCTTAACTTGATCATTTGCTTCAACATCATTTCTTGCAATTCGATTTTATTTCTATATTTCTCGTCTTTATTCTTGCTTTATTTTTTATTTTTTAAACGTTATCACGCCGTGCAAAGCAGTAAAGCCACAAGGGGTGGAAGAATTAGGGACAAAAACATTAATAATGAGCGGAAAGAGAAAAGAGTAATCATCAGTACAGTAGATAGCGATTGACATTACATTTAATTTTTTTCAGATTAAAGTTGGCTGGAAAACATGGAACCGAAAGGGAGTTCCACAATCGAGAAGTGCGAGAAAAGAAACTGTTAGCATAGAACTTACGGCTACATCTAGCCAGCTCGACTGTAAATTGATGAGATCTCGACGCCAGTCTAGTACTGCGCTTAAATTCAAAATGTCTAGATACCATAGCGAGGAGCTTATTTGAACAATTACCATGAAAGTATTTGTAGAAAAAATACAGGCGATTGGAAAGTGACTGAAACCGAACTGCCGGATCAGGACCAATAATATTGCTGATTTTTCTTTGGATCTCATTTAAGGAACTGCAGGTAAATAACAGATGCACCGGACCATATGTGGCAGCAATATTCTAAACATATCTACTTTATCATCCTTTTCTCTTTTCTTCTCATTCTCTTCTTATCTCTTTCGTTCAATACTAGTCATATTCATTTTCCTTTCTAGTCTATTTTTTCTGTATTGCAATAAACAATTCAAACAAAAATTAAAGAAATTTACATTTGATTATTTCAATACATGTAGGTTGTAAAATTTGTTTTCATCAAATATTAATCCATTTTGAATATGGAAATAATTTTCATAACTAAATTTAAATCCAATATCCGAAAATGAAACAAACTGAAGACACAACAATGTTTATTTATTTTTTCTTTTATAGAAGTTTTTCGTCGAATCTTATAAACTTCTTTGCGTTGTATACTTTACTCATATTGTATTATTGAAACCTCTCTACTGTCTGAATATAAGATAGGAAGAGTAAGAAAATTAACTGGAATTAAATTTTCGTTAACACAAAATTTGAATAATCAATGAAATTATAAATTCTTAAAATCCCGAGCCTCAACAAAATAAAAAAAATAAATAATTCAAATTCCTACTTTTCTGAACGAATGAATTCGATAACAAACTCTAAATTGATTTTGCTACAGGGAATCACACGCACTTACAATACTCACTATTGAAAATAAAGGAATTTCATCAAACAATATGTAGTGAATCATTTTAATCATTGACTTATTCATCTATTTTCTTCTTTCTATTCTTCTTCTTTAACGTCACTTCCTTTTATTTCCTTATATTCTTTACTGTTTCTTTCCATTTTTGATCACCTATCACGTTGATGTAATCACTCTACGGCGTTCCACTCCCCACCTTTCTCTACTACTTTCTTTCCATTCTTTTTTCCTCTCTTTCTCCTCTTTCTATTCTATTTCTCTTATTCTTTTTCTCTTTTCTTTTTGACGTTCTTTTCTTTTTTTTAACAGCGAGCTGTTGAGAACTGCTACAGCCGACTTGTGATACAATCCCACGCTTACAACTTCAGACAAAAGAATTTGTCAAAATAGCTGTTGATTACAGTTTTCCTTTCTTTTCTTTTTTCCTTCTTCATCGTCATGAGCTTCGTTCTGTTTCCCATAAGATTATAATAGCTATCTTTTTGTATCTCTCCCCCACTCTCTCTCATCTCTTTGTCCTTTTCTTGTTTTTACTCCTCCAGTACTTCGTCATTTCAATTCCTGATTTTTCTCTTTTTTTCACTCTCCCTCTTTATTTACTATTGCGTTCCCTCTTTCTATCGATTTGCACAAGTTCATCCAGATAAGTTCCAGTTAATTGTAACCTCAGTTGCTTGTTTCACTGAAGAAGACAAAGCCTTTAATACGGAATGTGAATGTAGAGTCAATTTTTGAAATATCGACAAACACGTTGCCATTCTGAGTGTCTCTAATTCTTTGATTGCTGCGTTTTTAGACTATAATTACTTTTACTATACGAGACTATGGTAATATTGAACATAGCCCAACACCTACTTAACTCCCCCAAAATACTTACACACAAAATAAAAAAAGTGAATCGTACACAATAAGTTTTTTCACTTACTGATGACTTGTCAGTAATTGTATAATAGTGAAAGTTCAGCGACATTTACTTATTTAAAATCAGACACGTATTCCAATATCCAATAATGATACAGGTATTTTTCCTGTGTTTCTCCCCTACCCGGCTTCTTATCCAAGATAATGAGTTTTAATTAAGAATGTAGAGTATCATTAGCGTTTTCTTCTTCTTCTATGTACCGTATCGCTTCAAGACGTTAGCGGTCATGACACTCCACAACTTCCTGGCTTACGGCGATATCACGATGAAACGCCGGTTCCCGTACGATCATCGAAGTTAAGCAACGTCGAGCCTGACCAGTACCTAGACGGGGGACCACTTGGGAATATCAGGTACTGTAAGCTTGGATGTGCGGGTGGTGCAATGTTTAATGTCTTGGAATTGTTAATCAAAGAGCCGGGAACTTGTTTTTAAAAAGTAATAAACTGTGTTAATTATGCCAAAATTAAATCTGTGCTTTAAACTTCAATTTTAAAAGTTCTCATATGATCACCAAATTTAAGCAACATTGAGCCTGGTCAGTATCTAAATGGGTAACCGCTTGGGAATACCAAGTGCTATGATCTTGGATGTGTGGGTGGTGTAATGGAAAACGGACCAGAATTGGAAATCGGAGAGATGTTTCCAGTCGGCTTTGTTATATTTACTTACACGCAAATATTCTTGGGAAAGATATGAATCCACCTCTTTTCCTCCCAGCTATGGGTTAATTAGTAAAACTTATATCACTAAATCATTATTATCTCAAAAAACAAAAATTCTTACAGTCTAAAAATATTTTCTGGCTTTAAATAACCTGCAAAGGGTTGATAAGCTGTAGAAAATGAATCAATAAAATCAAAAACTCCCAGTCTTTGGTAGCTCTTAGTAAATTATGTTTTTTCACTCTTCTAATCCTTATTCTATCAACCATTTACACAAGCTCTTTAAGCAAGGGGGTTAATCTCACTGCTTTCCTCTTTCTTACCTTCAATATATCCTGTGAGTGTTAAATTTGTCAAGCTCTTCTTCCTTATTATGTGCCCTAGAAAATCCAACTGTCTCTTTCTGAGGCTACGTTTAAGAGTCCTTTTTGTTTCTATTTTCTTTAAAGTTTCGTTATTGCTCACATTTTCAATCTATAGTATTCTCAGCATCCTTCTGTAGGACCATATCTCTGTTGCCTCAAGTCTCATTTTCATCAGTGAGAAATTGTTCAGCATCCACAGCCATATAGAAGGACTGATATTACATAGGAATTTAGCATACTTTTCTTTGTTTTCAGCAAAATTTTCCTGTTTCTTAATATTTTGTTTAGCTTTTGAAAGACAACTTTCGCCATTCCTATGCACTGAATTTAGTTTTCAGTGTTACATTTTCCGTCATCTGTTGCAACACTTCCCAAATAGTTACATTTTTATTTGTTTCTAATGTTTTATTTAATATTCTCTTTTCTGTGCAATTCTTTGTCTTTCCTTGTCGTCTTATCATCGATAATTTCATTTATCATTCACTTCTTTTTTTTCTTGCCTCTCTTTCTTCGAGATGATATTGTTCGCCGATGTCACTAGAGCTTCACTTAAGAATTAACTTTGAATTTCTGGCTTACGCTAATCTGTTATATTTGCTCTTTACTATGACAACATGTCTTTCTGCAACTTGAATAATCAAGGAACCTTTTGTATTAGAGTTTAGACATTGCTTTGGATTTCTTTGATTTGATTGGTATATGTTATTTCCTATAGTCAGCACTTGGATATGTTTTAGTATATAGAGCTTCATTGTTTGAAAATCCTTAATGCAAACTCTCGATGCAACAAGTTTTATTATAGTTAATTTTGCCCCTTAAACCCTTAATTGATCACTTTTATGATAAATATTAGAAAACGTGCTGTCAGCATTACCTCTTTTCAATAAATGTCGAAAACTTCTTTCTGCTAATAAACACAGATTTTCAGTCACTCAGACAGTCAAGTACCTTACGTGATACACGCTTGGGTCATCATGGTTCTTTCGATTCACGACTGACGAGGCAGAAGGTTTTCTGCAGTACGTTGTCAATCAAGGCTATAGAAACCAGTCTGTCCTGCTATTCAACCCATAGCTTGAGGGTAGAAGAGACGGAAACATTCGTTTGCCAAGGGTATTTGCGCATAAGTGAATGTAATGAACCCGACTGGAATTTGAACACGGCTCTCAAATTTCTCATTCCGAGCCGATAGCCATTACACCACAACGTACATTAGTCAGCATACATACCTATAATTCTCTACAAAAAAAAAAAAGAATTATCAAATAATTTAAAAGTATAGCAACAAATGGATTTTAGATAAGTTGAATGAATAGATTTTATATAGATTAATGTTTTTATAAGTGTCTTATCATTGATTTCTATTGTAATGTACAAGAATTGATAGGACTAGTTAACTTGGAAAAACCGAATACTTCCGGCCTGGGCGATTCACCGAATAAGAATGTATCAAATATGACAGCTTAATAAAAATGAAAAATCCCATCTGCCTTAGTTTTCTATTAAAAGTACAACATGGCGACAAAGATGAGATCACCTTTCATGCCGGTGAACATTTTTTTATTAACATATTCTTCGAAATCCTCATATAAATTTATAAATAGGAAAATCGAACAAATATTTTTTTTGCGCTTGATGCTGTACACACAGTTCTTAACATGGCGGCTTTTAGTCTTGACGAATTCTCATCTACTGGAGGAGATTGGAATGTCTACTAGGACAGAATCGAATACTACTTTGATGCTAACGGAATACAGAATTAAAAAAGCAATCCTCTTTTGTGGAACTGAAGCATTTTCTCTTCTTAAAGGCCTGGTCACAACTCCGAGCATAAAAGATAAAAGTTATGGGGAACACTCATTCACTTTAAAGGCACACTGCAATTTGGCATCATTAATTATGATTGAGCAATTCATTTTTTGTGTGCCATCATCTCGTCATTCTGTTACGGATTTCGTAGGTTATGTTTGCATATATTTACCATGTTTTATGGTGACCATTTAATGGAAACTGAGGAATGATCAATTATCAATCTTCTCTATTTTGTCGAACATCACAATTCCGTCATCGTCTCTATCGTCCATAAACAGCGAAACTTTAGGACCTGCTCTATACTAGAGCAACGCGGAAGTACATGAATGGGAATTCAGGGTTCTCGATTTTTAGTTCCTGCCACAGGAGAATCCATCCTTGATTTAAGCACCAAACCTGAGACAATTTTTCAGGGTTTCCTTGAAGGGCATAAAGAAAGTTTCGCTCGGGATTGTAAATTCTCGAACTTGTTTAAATTGGACCAAAGACTCACCATGCTAGTGTACAAGGTTGAAAACTGGGTGGGGCTCTGGGTTAAACTCTACTCTGTGACAGTTTTTGTTATAGTTTAGTAAGGGAGGTGAAAGACCTAGGTCGCGAAAAAGCGACATTTGGAATTTATACAGGGGGATAACCTACCTGGATTAATTACCAAAAAACAAAGCCGTAAATATGCAGTTCTTCAGGGCATCGAGAGGCCCCAACTGGAGACTATTGCACGTTTAAGATCTCCTTTACCAACGTGCAATACAACATCATCGATATTATACGCCTGCTGATAGGATAGCCTCCTTAGAAAATATTCTAACGTTCAGATCTCTATCAGGTGGATAACACCAACTCAGAGGCGTTTATATCCCGTACCCTTGAAGAGACAAATAATCCAGGGCCGAGAAAAAATGATACGGCATACAACCGAAGCGAAACTATAACCTTTATCCAGGAATCGTAGCAGCGAAACTTTCCTTGGGTCGAAAGAACCATGCCTGACCGGGAGTTTCCAGACCCCAAGACAAGCTCACTCATTTGAGAGGACTAAAAGGTTCGCTAGGAGAAGGGGCTCACAAATACTACTCGAAAATTAGCTGACATCACCTACCCCTATTTCATATAAAGTTATTGTAGGGCTATAGCATCAAGAAAATACCGTATATACTCGTGTATAATCCGACTTCAGGTATAATACGACCACTGAATTTTTTGCATGAATTTTAACTCCCTCCAGAAAAAATTACCTGTATGTATTTCTAGTGCAAGAGCCCCTATTTTTGTTTTGATTTTGTTTTTTTGCATACAAAATGATCATAAAAGCTCGCACTATATGCGAGTATATAAACAGATTAGGTGTGGCCATATCAATACGAATAACCTAACACGTATCTAATTAATTGGGTGTTACTGTTTTAGCATAGTTTTAATTTTGTTAAAGTTAGAATGGCATCTGACTTGGCGAAAAGAGATGACAAGGCAGCTGGAAATTAGAAGATTTCCCTAAATATATACCAAAACAAAGAAAATATATACGTAAAAAAATGTTTTCTTCCGCTCCTTAGCTAAGCTACTCCACTCCGAATACCAAACATAGGAATTTTATACCCATCCTAACGGCTACAATTATTTTCTTTTTTCTTTAAAAAAAAAAAACCGAAAAACATGACTGACTTCTGACCAAGTAAATTGAACTCCTGTGAAAACAAAATATAAATGGAGTAAACAAATATCACCTGTTAGTTCGTTTTTTTTTTTTTTTTGTTTTGTTTTGTTTTGTTTATAAAAAGTTTGGATACCATTTAGTAGCTGAATAACAAAAAATATAAGAAAAAATAACTAAAACAATAATTCCCCACTCTTTAGTTAAGCTACTCTACTTCAACTTTTAGCCCCCTTCTAACGACTCCAATTCTTTTCCGTTTTTCTTTACGAAAAATATGGCTTCTCTTACTTCTATCTAAATTCAGAAGAAAAGTCAATGTTTATGTCTTCAGGGAAACTAATCAATTTTTTACAAAGCGAAATAAGTTATTCGTTTAATATCTGTAGGCCTTTCTGTACAATGAAATGTTTTCTTGTATGAATAAATCATACTTTTTCTGAAGGCAAAGTTATGGCGCATACGTAGATAATGGGAGAGATAAAAACGTTACGTTTAATGAACGAGAGAAAGGCTATTACTTCTTCGCATCACCATTCTAGATTCCATTGTAGTAGGGCTCGTTTGTAAGCAACCAAAGACTAGCTCTGTATCGTATAAGATTGTTTGTGAAATAAAGAACAAAGAAAAATTTAATAGCAGAACTAAAAGAAATCCTATTTCTTCTAGTTTTCTTGTTGCAGGTCTGTCATACATTACAAGCATGGGAGACTATATTTTCACGAATCTCAAAATTGAAACACTCATGTGTGTTATCGTGAAATTTATGCATTCTTTGAGTAAGGTGGTTTGTATTTAATTAACCTTATAGGTTATTATAAAATGAAGAATTGAGTTGAAATTGTTTTTCGAGAAGACTAGAATTGTTTA